TGAACTCTCCAATGCAAGAACAAGATGCATTTCTTCCTTTAGGAGGTGCTGTTGTCAGAAGAAAAGAAATAGGTTTCAGTTTTGTTTTTGCATTTGGGAGCATGTGGGTGGGTATTCTGTTTGTAATAACTGTTTGGATACACTATATTTTTAATATGCTAGTTGTGATAATTTCATGCCAAGTAAAAATGTCCATAGTCATATTTTATGTTCCTAAAGTAACAGAATGACTTTCAATCTGGAAAAGACAAAAAAAATGCTAATGTAGCATTTTTTTCAATTTTTCCGAAAATTTCCATTTCCCCCCGAAAAAAACCGGGGAAAAAAGGGTTTTTTTCCGAGCTTCAAAATTTCCGGAAATTTTACATCTCTAGGTGTTAGCTGTCAACAGTTGAAGCTCCATCTACTGTCTACTGTGTCTGGAAAGCTCGCACCCTGAAAGTCTTGTTGGTCTCTTATGTGTTATTGGACTCAAATCTAGGACCTTCCGTTGGATTCACATCGGTCGGGGTTCAGCTTGCTGCCGCAATCCCACATCGCATGTGCTCATCCTCGGAAGGGCTGAAAAGGGCTCACGCGTTTGCTGCCGGTGGTTCGATGAGAGGGAATCCCACCACATTGTACCCGTTGTTTCTGTGGGGTGAGATGTAGCGAAGACCCTCAAAGGCTTTTCAGAGTTCCTGTCCTCTGATTAAGAGAGGTGGAGAAAGGGAGACTGTCACCCATTTGGCCTAATGAACTCGGAATCCTTTTTTGGGCGACCAGCGGCCATCTTTCCCGGCACCACAGCGGGTGATTATTCAAAAGCGGGTTCCACTTTTGGAGTTCTGCAGAAGTTTATTAGGATTTCTTCTGTGAGGGCAGTAATGGCTGAACGACCTTCCCTGAAATATAGGTTGTCCAGCGCTATTCATCTTTTTTACAGTGTGCTGCCCTAGGGGAGTGTGTTTGGGGGCATCATTCTAGGATGTACACTTGATGCATGTTTAGTTGGCACCAGAATGCTTAGTCACAGAAGGGTTTGTGTGTGTTCATGGCCAATCAGGAGGGAGTCTGCGGCAGATGTCGATGTACAAGGATTCTCTAAAGATAGGAAGTGTGAAAAAGCACAGTTTTAGAATAAAAAGGTGCATTTAGGGCCCGCCGGCAGCGGGCCTGTAGCTACAGTGGGGCCTCTCGGGGCCTGACCCCCCCCCCGACTTCCCATCCAGCCCAGGACCACCACCCCCAAACTCTCTGGGCCGCCCAGAGGACTTCCTGCCACGGCCGCTCCTTACCTAAATACGACTTGCTTGAAAGAGAGCCGAGGTGAGAGCAACCCCAATGGCGTCCTCACCCTCCAGTCCTTCTACAGGTAGGGCAAATTCCACGCCTGCCAGCAGCCCCACCAGCCGGCCATGTGCCTCTTCCAGCTGGAGCTGTGGTGGAGGTCAGCTCCATAATGCTTGGCTTCCAGGACGCATTGGTGCTCGCTCACACGCCTCCTTGCCCTCTTGCTACGCATCCGGCCGCCCCTCTGCAGCCAGCTGGCCAGACCCTAGAATCATAGAATCACAGAGGTTGGAAGGGGCCATACAGGCCCTCTAGTCCAATCCCCTGCTAAGTGCAGGGTCAGCCTAGAGCATCCCTGACAAGGGTTTGTCCAGCCGCTGCTTAAAGGCTGCCAGTGAGGGGGAGCTCACCACCCTCCCTAGGCAGTTGATTCTTGCTGTAAACAAGATTTTCCTGAGATCCAGCCGGTACCTTCCCGCCCTTAATTTAAAACCATGATTGCGGGTCCTCTCCTCTGTTGCCAACAGGAACAGCTCCCTGCCCTCCTCCAAGTGACAAATACTTAAAGAGAGCGATCCTGTTTCCCCTCAGCCTCCTCTTCTCCAGACTGAACATTCCCAAGTCCCTCAGCCTTTCCTCCTAGGGCTTGGTCTCCAGGCCCTTGATCATCCTCGTGGCTCTCCTCTGCACCCGCTCCATTCTGTCCACATCCTTTTTGAAGTGAGGCCTCCAGGACTGCACACGATACTCCAAGTGCAGCCTGACCAAGGCAGTGTACAGCGGGACTATGGCATCTTGCGATTTGGATGTGATGCCTCTATTGATACACCCCAAGATTGCATTAGCCTTTTTTGTCACTGCATCACACTGGCTGCTCATATTTAACTTATGGTCCCACCCATACCCCAAGATCTTATTCACACACACTGCTACCCAGAAGTGTGTATCCCCCCATCCAGTATGCGGGCACCTCATTTTTGTTACCCAGATGTAGAACTTGGCATTTATCCTTGTTAAATTGCAACTTTTCCTTCCGGCCACTTTTCCAGCATGTTCAAATCTTGTTGAATTCTATCACTATCTTCTGGTGTGATCGCTGTACTGGGCCCAGAACCGAGCCCTCTGGCACCTCACTGGGCACCTCCCTCCATTCAGATGAGATGCCATTGACAACTACTCTTGGAGTGCAGTTCTCCAACCAGTTCCCTATCCACCTAACTGTCCTAGAGTCCAGTCCACAGTCTTCTAGTTTACCCATCAGAACTTCAAGGGGAACCCTGTCAAAAGCTTTACTGAAATCCAGCAGGTCAACATCATCGACAGCATTCTCTCGATCCAGTAAGCTCGTCACTCAATCAAATAGGAAATGAGGTTGGTCTGGCAAGACCTGTTGGGGAATAAACCCATGCTGACTTCCCCGGATCACTAAGCTGTCCTTTAGATGCCTACAGACGGATCCCTTTAGAATCTGCTCCAGTATCTTCCCTGGGACAGAGACTGGCCTGTAGTTTCCTGGGTCATCCCTCCTCCCTTTTATGAAAATTGTGATAACATCCACCCTCCTCCAGTCTTGTGGCACGTCTCCTGTCCTCCAAGAGGTCTGGAAGATGATGAACAGCTCGGAAAGCCTGGCGCACCCTTCCCTCCAGCCCCCTTTCCTGGCAGCAAGAAGCCCACGGGGGTGGGAGGGTCTCCATGGGCGGAGTAGGAGCAGCTCTGCTGCGGGAAGGGCAGGAGCGGGTCTGCCCCCCGACTTATTCAAAGGCCCCCCTCCCCCCCAAAAATCCTGGCTATGGGCCTGACCACCCGCCACAGTTTGCAAGAGTCGAGTGTGGTGGAACAGTGCTCAGTTCTGACAGCCCACACATGCAAGCTGGGGGTTCGCTCCAGACTAAAATTCCCATCAACGGGATGGAACTTTCCTGTCTTTTTCTCCCACTGAGCTCAGCTAAATGTTGCTCCTTGGGGGTGGAGGACCCTGAAGACTGTATCTGGACTGTCAGTCTCGACTGCTGTCCCTTTCCGACAGATCAACTGGCATAGTGGGGTCAGGAGAGATTGTTGTCCACCTAGTGGAGTATGCCACCAGGCCTCCCTAGTTGCGGTTCTGGTGGAAGTCGTGTGTTGGAAAGATACGCTTTTTTTAGACGAGTGCAAATTCTGCTGGATGATGTGAAGCCCGGAAAAACGTTCTCCACTGGCCGAGCCCAGAATGCAGTGGACTAAGAAAGTAGCCTAAGGTTACATCACAGCAGAAACAAAACAGTTGAAATAATTTTAAGGTGCATGTTTTTGGGAGGGGGGGAAAAAGGTCAATCTGACATATAGAAAAAAAGACCTGGTGAAGAGGAGTGAGTAATGTATTGCAAGACAATGTAATGGTATCCTGTTTGTAGTAGTATTTGCCCGGACTTGGTGGATAGTAACCAAAAATCGAACACAGAGAAAGTGATGGGGAATGGCAGAGGCCTAACTTTTATTTTTGTAGCACTTTTCCTTAGCCCCGATGCAATGAAGTTTTACTTTTCTGACTACCAAAGCTCGTTTGAAAGCATGCACTTTGTAGGACCTTAATATATTTCTCGTGTGACGATTGCCAAGATAGCTATATTATTAAAATAGTGATAATAGTTTATTGCGTTACGATATTTTGGATAGATTTAATGTATGCAGAATATTTAATCTAAGTGTCATGGTTATGAACTGAAGGAAGGCTGGAGTCCCCCCCCTCCCCCCGTGTGTGTGTGTGTGTGTTTATGTGCGTAAGATGGATATTTTCTCCCATCTTGCTGTTTGAGAAGAATACACTTTATAGTGCACAGAGATTATTCTTGCAATAGGTGATTTCTGAACGGGGCACGGCGTGGCACCAAGCATGCGCTGTTCACTGGCAAACAGGTTTAATGGCCAAAAAAAAAAGGTTCAAGGAAGAGCTCCAGGGAGAATGTACCCTCGTTCGTGTTCTTGTCTTGTCCATTTGTACAAATGACTTGAAAACCACCGGGATGGTCCTTCACCTCCTAGCTCAGTACAGTATGACTGTGACCCACCCAGGCAAAGGCATGCTTAGTGTTGGGAGCGGGAGACGAGGCCACAGGAAACGGGGGATTATTGTCCCGTTTGGTGACACCGCAGGGGTGAGGGCCAGTGGGCAACGGTGGCGAGGTCTTCTCTAGAAGCTCTCGTAGAGACCCCCGTGCAGTGAGCCGTCCCACAGAGAAGGGTAGTGCCTCAGCGCTTTGGATATAGTAATAAGAAAATATTTGTTTTATGGTCTATGGTCTGCCAACCCAGTTTGTGTTTCTGCTGTGTGTAATGCTGAAGCATGATTTTTTTTTTTGTAAAAGAAAAAAAAACTTTCAAAAGGGTTTTGGAGGGGAATCACGTCACCCCTGCTATCCCACACATAGACTTCTTTTGTTTCTATGACCTTTGATGTTTCGGTGTAATTGGCTTGAACGTTTATAACTTTTTATGAATCGGAACCGGTCTCCTTCATAAATCTGTTTTAATTAAAAGTCATGTCAGAGCAACAGGAACAGATACACAAGAATCTGAAGTTTACAAACTACAACTTTGATAAGGGGGAAAATGGTTTCATGACATATGTATACAGTTGCTATTAAAATGTAATCTATATATTCTATATGATTGTATAATATTTTATACAACGGTACAAATAAAATATTTTTCTATTTATTAAGTTGAAACAGTTTTTTGTTGTTGTTGCTGTTGTTTCCTGTTAGCTAATATAAATAACATAAATAACACTGTCAAACAACACGTTGGAGGTGCTGACATACTTCTAGGCTGCGAAGAGTTACGTCATGCTGCAGTTTACAACCTTTCATGCTGTTTGGAGATTCCCCAGTTAAGTTGTTCAGTAGATTAAAATGAATACATATTTAAACACCATTTAGAAGCCTGTAGTTTTATTTGCTAAAGCTGTTTTATATAGATTTGTTACATTTGGCAATATGGAGAGAGAGAGACAGAGAGAAAGAGAAAAAAAAAGGGAAGAGATTTTAAAACACCAATTGCAGCATCTAGGTATATAAATGGTTGCTATAGAGAAAGAGTCGAGATTTCTAACAGTTGAAAAGCACTGGTGGACCAGAAGGGGGCGGAAGGTGGGGCGGAAGTACCGAGGGCACAGCTGCATGCTAAAGTTGACAAGGCGGCTGCTGAAAATGGCATTCCTATGTTCGGTTCTCCCTTCCCCTCCCGGCAATATTTGGGTGCCCTTGCCGCAGTGGTGATGTCGTCATGTGCATTTTCCCAGCACGCTTTGCCAAATGGTTTGGAACACGGTCAGGGAACTGTCTTAACATGAAGGCACCACAACTTTGGGTAAGTTGCAGAGGAGAGGGGTAAACTTGACATAGAATGCCACGTAGAAGGGACTGCCCTGTGTTGGCCATAACCTGTAGTTCCACCCTAAGAATGCTGTTGAAGAATCTGATCACTGGGTGTCTGCTTTTGGAGAGGACGGCATTATGCATGCGTCGGATGAGAATGGCTGGCAATGGGGATGAGGCGATGGAGAAGGCTCCTAAGGAAGGGGGAGGGAAGGGATTTTGAAATTAACGTCCAACACTGATGTTGCAGGTCTTGCAGCTGGGATCTTTCTTGGCATTTGCGGTCGACAAGCTCATTAGCTGGTGACCGGTAATTTCTGAAACGGTGCCAAGGGAGATATCCACAGGGTTGGTGTAAATCACTTCCAAGATTACATCCTGCGCATGGTGGTAAACCATGACTCCGTCTTCTTCGGTGCAGGTCAGAAATTTGTTGTCCTGCAAGTTCAGCTGAGGGAGGCGCTGCTTACAGAATTCGTCTCCCGGCGATCCGGCGGGTGCCAAGACGAGGATGACATAGTGGTAGGCCGTGTACATGCAGTAGAAGTCCCCAAAGTACAAGTTAGTGTTCGGGTTGAACAGTTTTTCTGCTGCAATCTCGAACTGGTACCTTCCGTACGGTGAATCTTGCGGGGGCTTCCCGGTATTGAATTCGGTGTTGCAGCTAAAGAAGATGCCTTCCAGCTTCCCGCTGATCGGAGAGCCATGGCTGCCGCTGTTATCCTTGACAGAAGGCTGCAGCGCATTTCCGTGCTGCTCTCTAGAAGTGAAGGACAGGGCGGTTTTTGTTTATTTTTGCAAGGGCATTGGAGAGCAAGACATTGATCGAATATTCAAAAAGCACTGCCCCCCCAATTGGGCATAACGGCATCTCAACCCCAAACAAATCAAAAGACATGCTGTCATGATCCCAGCGGGTTGTCACCTTCAGCTGCCACCACTCTGGACTTCATGTTCATTGAGAAGGCCCGGAGTACCCTCCCAAGCCCATCCAAAACGCCCCTTTTTAAGCTCAGAACATAGGTGTGATGACCAGGCAGAGAACACTTAAACAAATTGTTTATTAACACAGTACTGGGGCAAGGAAAACAAGACAATGTGCTTTAAAATATATAACAGTGTTTAAAGGCAAAATAAACAACTCTAACGCGACTACCCAGTTCACTTAACTGGTTACTACTTCAAGGCCCACAGCCCTCTTATACCAGGCCTACTGCCTGTACTCACTCTGTCTCAAGTGAGGGATCTTTCTCTCAGACCAGTCCCCTCAGTTTTACTCTGTGTGACTGCAGAAGAAAAAAAAACCCAGTTTCATGGCCCACAAAACTTACGTCCCAATTACCTCACACAATCCCTGGACACCCATTGGCTACAACCATCGCTAAGCATTGTGGGGATTGTAGGCTGTCTGCTTTCCATATCCCACACGGGTCTCTCCTAGGGCCTAGTCCTACACAGATCATGACACAAGTTCATCTTGGTAGAAAGGAATAGCAAAGGAGAAACCCAAAACATATGGTGGGAAGGGAGGGATGAGGGAGAAGAGAGATGTCGGATGCCAAATTTTAGCTTTGTTAAGCTGCAACAATGAAGTCTGTATTTTCAGCCTGGTGGTAGAAAGCACCATCAAGTTGCAGCTGACTCATGGTGACCCTTGTAGGATTTTCAAGGCAAGAAACATTCAGAGGTGGTTTGCTGTTGCCTGCCTCTGCGTTGACACCCTGGACTTCCTTGGCGGTCTCCTAGCCAAATACTAACCAGGGCCAGCCCTGCTTCGCTTCCAAGATCCGATGAGCTTCAGCTAGCCTGCGCTATCCAGTGCAAGGCATTGTCACCGTAGAGGACAACTCCTGGGTGACGGGCAGCATGGGGACAAGCCTGCTCTTCCAAAGAGGGCTGTTTCAATACAGGATGGTTCCAGACATTTATAAAAGCATACCTCCTGAAAAGGTCCTATGCGAAGAACCCACACAGGGCTGGAAACGCACGCATCATAGAGTAAGAGTAATCAGAGAGCTGGGAATGGCGGATGCTCCCTGTTGAGTACAGCTCTGTGGCATAACATGAGGGGATATGTGGGGCTGGCAGCTCACCTTTTAATTAATTAATTTTTTTAAAGAGTGAGGACGAAACACCAAATACCAAAACCCAGATGAGTAAAGATTTACCTATCAAAAGAAGAAGGGGAAAGGGGTGGGTGGCTGTTCTTGAAAGGCAGCCCAGTGACACCCAGTGGCTGATTAAGCTCATTACAAGCTAGTATTTTCTGTAAAACTGGCCATGTCTCTCCGGCCGCCTACACATTTCTTCTCCTTTAAAGTGGGCGGATTCCAACAACTGCAGCCTTCAGATGAGTCCACTCCCTCATGCAGCCTGGTTAGAACCACCCCTGCTTGAGCTTGAGCATTCCCCCCCCCCCGAGGCGGGGGCTGAGGGAAGGGCCAGTGCTCTTGGCCAGCACTCTCCACTCAGAATGTATTTTTCTCCACATTATGGAGCGGCTTCCTGGAATGCAGCAGGAAGGCACCTCGCTCTTTGAATCCCCAAACACAAGGGATTTTGGCCCGTCGCCCTACAGAGTTTGGGATTTTTGACTGCTGTGCTTTTATGGCTGTGAATCAAATTGCTGCTGTGCTGGCTTGTTGTAGCTGTCACTGTGAATGGCCCTTACCTAGAAAAAGCCCAGCTAGAAAGGCCCTTATTGAATGGAGTAAATATAAACGGCAACAATCAACAAGCCGTCTTTAGTCTATCAAAGCAAATCAACACCCCTCAGCGGACCTGTGCATAGATGTCACCAGGGGTCATTTCCTGCAGGAGCGCACAGGAGCGGAGCTCCAGCAGTAAAGAGTCCAGGGGGGCAGGCACATGCAACAAGCCCCGCCCCCTGCTCCTTCTCTCCCTCTTTCTTTCCCTTTCTCTCCTTCTTTCCTTCTATTGCGTTCCTTCTTTTTCTTTTTTCTTTCCCTCTTTCACTCCTTC